CGTTCACCGATCCGGGACCCGATCGTCGTTTGGGTCACGTTTTAGGTGGTCACGATTTATTCTGCCCGTGACACTAGCTAACATACTAAGTAAAATTGCTCTGATTGGAATTTTGCTACTATATATGTGAACAGCCTACCGTAGTCAAAAAAGCTCGGGTTACACAAAAGACAATTTTTGGACAACACTAAATTTCACTAACTAACGCTGATTCTAAATCGCCTAATTGCGAAGATATACATATACAGCAAAATCACAAATACGTCATGCAATCAAATATGGCAAGGATGGCCAACCAAAAATATAAATCGCCAATTTGAAATTTCTGGTTTTAATTGTTCCAAATTTTGCTACTTCTCTTGGATATTAAAAAGTGTCGAATTAGTAACTCTAATATTTGACTTATACAAGAAAGAAAATGAATAATGTAGGAACCTTAAATAGAAGTAGAGTGGAAGGTTTATTGATAAGATCAATAACTTTAGTTTCTTTTCGAAGATTATCTAATGAGGATCTTTTAAGAAGTGCCTGGGAAAAAATCCAACAGATTAATATTCTTGATTCATACCGTTATGGTCTGTGCAAAACTGCTTTTGAGTTATTGCTAGATGCAATAGAAGAAAACAGACTAAGTACCTTAGGATTGCCAACCAAACGGGAAATATTGAATTATTTAGAAACCAAAAGGTCAAATATTAGACCAAACTACCAAGTAGATTTTGGATTTTCTTCTCATCAACTACAAGTTGTAGAAATCCATAGCCTAATTTATCCCGATCAACCTTTTAATTTTCAAACTCTCAGAGCTGAAATCAAAAGATTAAAAATCCAAGATTTAAGTAGCCAAATTCCCTTAAAGAAACAAGAATTAGAACAGCTAATTAATACTGCTAAGGAACAACTTACTAGAGCCGAAAGTTATATTTTAAAACAATTACTCCAAAAGCACTCTAGAATTCTTCAAGCTAACGACAACTCTGATGCTGAGGGATTGAATGAACTTATAGAGATTTTAAATGAAACATTAATCCAAGAAGAATTACAAACTCTTTTAAATAAACAACATGAAATATTTACTTTAGAAAAACATCTAGAGAATTTACAAACTGAAATAACTATTGGTTTATAAAGTTCTGAGCTGTTTAATTTCAATTATATTGTGTCTTTATTATTTTAATTTCTTAATAGCTCTATTATGGGCAAAATTGCTTTTTTATCTAGGAAATCGATGTTGAACCAAGTTAGTTGCAAATGAAAAGTTTGATATTAACAAATACAACTTCTCCATAAATTTACTATCACTTCCTTGACCACATTATAACAAAACAATTAACTCTAATAATTATCCTTATCATGATTACATTTTTAATCCTTTAATCTCTGGATCAGTACAAAACTTCTAAACTCCTCTTAGCTAAATCGCAAACCAATCCATTACAAGCATAATCTTCCTAACTATTTATTTTCAAATCTTCTTTCCGTACAAAAAGGTCAATTTTTATTAACATAGATTTTCTTCTCGGCAAAAAAGTGGGTTATATACATTTATAACACCTTTTCATATTTATGTATTTAAATTAACTATTTCATCGGCAAATAGTGACAATTTTCTTTTCTATTGATTTGTCTTTTCTGATCATTAATAAAAACTTATATATAAATTATAAAATATCTCCATACAACAATTACATAAAATTTGTTAAGTTTTTTTTTTATATATAGAACACTATTTAGTACCTAAAAACCTGAGGATTTTGTATTACATAAATACTAGCGCAGTATTAAATTCGTTATATTCAAGACGATGTGAAAATTTTTGCTAATAAATGATTTCTCGAAAAAGGAACATTTCATTTAAATATTTTTTAATAATAAAATAAAAATAAATAAATACCGTATAGCGCTGCATATAGTACACCTGGAATAGTATCCCCTCTTTTTTTTGACAAGCGATTTGTGACCCAATTTTCATAATTAATGTGCAATCTTTTCATTGGATTTGATATGTCTAATAGCAAACTATATATTGATCAGTAACGATTATTTGGATTATCTTCCCATCTCCCAATACTTGGGGGTATTATTCAATCTAGGCCGGCTTTTTTGTAAAATGCCCGGGTACTATATGCAGCGCTGCCTTTCTGTATTTTTCTTATTTTAGCATTTATTATTTTTATTTTCATAGCTAGATAATAAATATTGTTTGAGTAGAGTAGATACGAAATAAATCAAATTTTAGTTTTAATTATCTCTTTCGTTAATCTGCTAATATGGGTGTTAAAGAAGCTAATGTTGCTAGATTTTTATCGAAATGGTATCAACATAATAAAAAGAGATATCCAGAAGGCAAATTATTGGGTTGGAAAATATAGAAGTCTTTTGAAACCTAATAAACATATCAATTCTGAACTTAAGAGAATATTAGAAGATGAAAATTTTAAATTATCTTGGATTAATCATGATGAATTTAAAGATATCAAGGAAATTGGAAAGGGGGAATTCGCAACAATATATGATGCAACTTAGTATGATAAAGTCAATAATGCGTGGTGGAATGTTGTACTTAAGGTTGTTTGTGATTCAAATGTAAATGTACAAGAATTTATCCAGGAATTGAAGAATTACCGAATTGTTCGTTACGACAAAATCTTGTAAGAGTATCAAAATTAGATGGAAAGATAGATTGAATATTTTGTACGGCATAGCTTTGGATTTTTAATCAATTCATTCGCAGGAACTCGTTCACAGAGATTTACATAGCGGAAACATTTTGCAAGGAGATAGCTTGCATTACGCATATATTACTGATCTTGGGCTTTCTAAAACAGTAAAGGAAGGAAAAATTTGTGGAATTCTGCAATATATAGACCTGAGATTTTGGTAGGTAACCATATACTCAAGCATCAGATATTTATAGCGAGTTATCACGACAAAAATTTCGAGCGGACAAAGGGCATTTGATGGAGTTCCGTTTAATGGTGATCTTGCATTAAGAATTATTGATGGAGCAAGACCTAAATGTTTTGGACCAGATTGTTTTATTAAATTGGCTATGAAATGTATGGATAAGGAGTTAGATAAACGACCTACTGCAACTGAAATTATTGAAATAATCACATTTTGGTTAAATGAAATCGATCATGAAGATGAAAATGAAATCTAAAAACAAAATTTGGAAGCTAATAAGATTAAACCAGAACAAATTGAACAAATACATTCGCATGAAACGTATGCTAGCAAGCTATACAACACCAAAAATTTTTCAGAATACATCAGTAAGCCGATTAGTACTGTAGAAATTGAGAGCAAATTGTTTGAAATTTGTGTTCTCAGAGTTCTCATGAGAACTCAATTATAAAATTGTGCACAGTATAAATTTTTTACTGTTCACTATTGAAAATTTTTTGAGAACAGTAAAATAATAATCGTGTTCTCATAAGTATATAATAGAAAACTATATAATATTATTAAATGCTGAATATATTACGTTTAGAAATCATAAAAAAATTCTAATATAAAGACAGTTATATTAATCTAAGATAAATTTTGAAATACACATATGCACTTCAAAATCAAATTGGTATCGGTTTTTTTTTTTATGTTCATTAAGTGAGAACAGAAATATTAGTGTGAGAACACCAATAGCTATTATACTGCTCTCATGTGAAAGTGTTTAGATCTGAAATTTCAAATACTGCTCGCAACCGATGGTAACACTAGCCTATCTTATTAAGTAAACTTGCTCTTTTGGTATATGTTAGAAACCAATACAGAAGTTTTTGTTTTTTGGCTTACTTTTGATATTATAGTATAATAATATCTCTACCATGTTGCATTATAAATCCCTTTACAAGAATATGATCGATTCTAATTCCTCATAATTGCGCAATTGTTCGAGTTTTTATTCGGTGGAAGCGTTAAAATGTTAACATTTAAATCTTCGATTTGATGTAATTTTTAATTGATGTACAGTATCTACTTCTAAAAAAAAAAAATGTTTTAATATCGTATAACATTATTATAAGCGTGCAATTCTAAGCTTAACATTTATGATATTTTCACAGCATTATGCCATCAAAAAATATCATCAAAAATGTTCACGGGGAACATATGTTAATTTACTGCTTTAGACAATAATTTATTGAACTAATTGAACTAATTCATTGTTTAAATTTTAATTTTAAGCGTATTATTAAACGTAAATTAAATAATAGTCAATTATGTAAACTCGCAATACAGTCAAACCTCACTATAGTCGTGTAAACACATTTTCTTTATAAGTTTATTTTTTTTAAAAACTATCTATTATTAAATAGAATAAATTTAACCTCTATAATTAGCACACTTCGCTATAGTCATGCTTTTTGTATCCCGTGAGTGTGACTATAGTGAGGTTTGACAGTAACCACACAGTTGGGCATGATAAATTTTTATAAAATTGGCTTGTAAAGAAGTTGTTCCAATATGGAGAGTATATACTTATAAATTAAATCATAGTTCGATTCAAAATATAAATGTGATAACATAATATGCAATTATATGGGAAGTGATATATGAAAAATTTGACAAGCCAGCCGTTGATTAATTTGAATTATAGAAATAAGGAAAAATTAAATGAAAATGTGCATTCGAATTTTGTTAATTTGTAAAAACATATATCCTAACACAATATAATTAGGGGAAAAAACTAATTCATTGCCTGTGAAATATTCGCAAACAGGTATTAAAAAAAAGCCATATATTTCCCATCCAATCTTCAACTAAACATAAGATTTTCGAGTCAAATAACGACAGAATAAGCTTCATTTTATTTATATGCTTGTTAAATGAGATTGGAACGAATTATTAAATTAATTTTTTTTGAATAAGAAATAATATACTCAATATTATTGTATACCCTTTATAGAATTACTATTACTTGAATAATTTTATAAATTATCTTATTTGGGAGTTATGTAAGAGCTAAGAAGTTAGCTTTAAACAATGAATTTTCATTTTCATTAATTATTGGAAGTTATTGAAAGTTATTTTCTTCATTGAGAGAATTTTCCTATTCAGTTTTCAATATTCTGTGAAAACACAGATTTTTACAGCGTCACCGTAAATTGTCCATCGATTTGACGCATTTGTTGTTTTAGCATTATTACATGTTTTACTGATTTCCACAGTTCTCTTCCATTTATATTTATTAAAGTTCGAATGTTAATAGGCTTTTTAAGTTGTGAAGATATTGTTTTTT